ACCACTTTTTTAATATGTAATTTTTTATATTTACATTTGTGATATTATACTTACATCTGTGAATTGTTATGAAAAAGGAGCAATGGTGTACTTTAGCTTTGTTTCAAAATGCTACTTCTTCAGTAAAAATATTTTGAGTACTGTCAGATTTATTACTTGTTGTATCACAATCAATTAGTTATTCAGACTTCATTTGTTATTTCACAATCAATTTCAATATTGAAGGGAGCTAGAACTTCTGAGTTTGAATGTATGGGTTAAGAAAACCCATGTATGAGTTAAGTAAATAATGAAAAAATAAAAAAGCAAATTTAAGAACTGATTTTACGTGTAAAAAAATAGGTTGATTTGTGTAAATAAATTAGTAGAACTTTTTAAATGCACACACATTTTTTCCTTCTTTTAATAATATATATATCGATTCTTTTAAATAATTCAAAGGTAACATATCTAAGCACTAAAAGCTGTATTTAAGATTTTTGGATCAATAGAAACTGCGCCTGCAATCAACAATTTTTATTGATTAATTTTTGTTCTAGTTTGATAATTTTACCATAGCAGATTTTTAAGAACACATAAATCCATACTATAAAAAAATTAACATTATTATTAGTCCAAGTATTCCATAGCAGATTGTTAAAAAAAAAAAAACAGTTCGTATTTCTAGAGAATCTATTTTAAACTATGATTCCATAAACTTTTACAGTAACATTACTGCATTAAATTTTGTGAGCTTAGTATGTTTACTAGTTTAATGCAGTAACATAACTATAAAAAATTATGAAATCCCAGAAAAATTAGTATCATTAGAAAATCCCTAGATTAAGTTTTTTTTTTAAATGTGCTAAAAATGGCTTTATAAAAATAACAACTGTACAGCAGGGTACAGCGGTCCTTAAAACTTTTTAAAAAAGTGGTGTCAATATTATAAGAAAGAAGTTAAAAATTTCATTTAATTATCTTTCACTTTATTAATTAATATACCAAGCCAAATATTTAGGAACTGAATTTTTTTTCCGAAACTATTAAGCATAGTGGTGAATATAAATTTATTAAAATGCTTTTTTTTTTCTATTTTTGATACCACTTTTTAAATTCTTTAAAAGAACGTTCGATACGAACCCTATTAAACGAGATAATATTTACACAAAATTTCTAGTTGCTTCAATTGATAGAAATTTAAAAAATACTGTTTATATAATCATTTGTCCTCTCGAGACTGACATTTATTTATTCACAATTTTAGTGTTTCAAACTTATTACATAAACAAGGTCAATATCGATCTAATCAATACTATGTAACCAGAAGCGAAGCGATATTGATCAGATACACAGCATATTAAATGTTTATTCATAAGATGTTTATCCAAAATTATTAAAAACAGGTTTGGTCGCTTAAAAAGTGTCATTAAAGGGTTATTTAATTGAATAATAACCGCTAATGACCAGGACGTGTTTTGGATGCATTAATAGATCATACTCCAAAATGAAGAAAAATGTTTCCTGTGGTATTAATTAACAAACATAGCAGAATTGTTTCTGTCTAGCTGTTATTTTTTTTACAATCAAATTAAACTTTTTTTGCGGTAGCGATATAACAATTGTTTTAACTGTGCAAACACTTCCTGCATTGAAAAAATGTCTATCCGGCATTTCAATGTTTATAGTGCCATTTTTTAAGCCGAGATAAAAGTATTAATTTGCATGTTTTGTTACCATTTAAATAAAAATTGGGAGATTCGGTAGCCATGTATCTGCTTTGTAATGTTTTTATTAACACGTTGACTGCCATGGGGGTCACCGGTGAGCGGCGAAGACAAGATTATTAGAAACACATAATTCGAGAATATTTTTAATTTTTTTTATTATTATCGTTACTAAAATGGTTTGAAGAAATTAATACAATATAGAACACACAAAAATAGTTTTATTTATATACCACGGAAATGCCAACTTGCTCCGGACAGCGAATAAATATTTTCAAGTGGTAGTTTATTTATTGTGATTCCTTCTTATTCAGATTTTTATTCACCACTATTTCTAAACAATTCATAGGCTTATATAATTCACCATTTTTGTCAGGAGTGTCATGCAAAACCATTAAAAAAACTAGCAAAATCTGTCTAATGTTTGCAAATTTAGTTTGTAGTTATTTACCGTTAGGACAGACGGGCAAGCCATGTAAAATTAGCTTGGCATTCAACATGTTAACGCTATTAAATTTGTCAATGTAAAAATAACTTCTATAAAAACAAAATTTCGCTATATCTAAGATTTTCAATTCAATACAGTTTTTAAAAAAATAGTAATAATGACGAAAATTATGAATTTAGTAAATATTCGTTAAACTAATATGTTACCTTTTTCTTTCGAATGCTGAATTAAATAAGTGGCCCCTGATGAAATGGAAATCGCTGTACGGAACCGAATCATACCTGTATAGTCGGCGTCGATTTATTTTTTTCCAGCATGAATTGTAGTCGCAAAAATTTGATCGCTTCTGGCAGTACTTAAAAAAGATACCACAGATCAAAACAATTTCGTTGATCATATGAAAATTATTTAAGAAAATATTTATAATTAGTGCGTGAACAAAATATTACCAAAATTCAACTCGAAATATTACTTATTACTCCTTTACAATTATTTAAATTATAACTTACTACAACTTTAATTTGTAACATTTAAGCGTTTTTCAGCTTATGTTTGATAAAACTGTTGAAAAAGTGCATTAATTTCAAAAACTAATTTATGTAGCTGAAATGAAAAGTTAATTGCGCAAGATTAATAATACGCAAATAAATTCTATGTATCATATTTATAATTGTTACCTGGCTGCAGAATTTTCTCTAAGGACATAAGAATAATATAAGAAATTCATAAATGTGCGATTGTAGAGTGTGCATGTGAGATATCTCTTTCCGTAATGAATCAAAATAAATTAGCAATGCGATATCACACAGATGCATAAATCACTTAGTACATTTTATTAAATTAGTCTTTTTTAAAAGACTTTAAAAGTCAACGGTCCTATGAATTTCTAATAGTCGTTTTAAATTTACGTTGTAGGAACTACGGGTTTTAAAACTCTCTTTATCGTTCATAATTCAGAATGCAAGGGCATGACTTAAAAAGTCACATCTGTAACATACATACCACACTGACCCCGAAGTCCGAGAATTAACCCTATAATGATTATGCTTATTGTTTATATATGTAAAAAAAAAAGTAGGCACGAAATTTCTCGTTTAGTTGTTAACTTGGGTTAAACATTAATAAGGCAAATTTTTTTGCGGCGTCCGTTTTATTAAACACGTATGTGTGTTTAAAAAAATCCAGCAGATCCAAATAAGACTTCGAGCAGTGTCCATTTTTCTGAACACGCGTTTCAAACTGTGTTCATTCTCGTAAATGGGCATTCCGAGTGGTGTCCATTTTCATAATCATGCATTTTAAGCTGTCTCCCTTTCAATAAACACGTCTTTTGAGTGTGTCCATTTTCATAATCACGACTTAGGAGCTATGTTCATTTTTGTAAGCACGCATTTTCAGCTGTGTCCATTTTTGCAAACACGCATTTTGAAATGTGTCCTTTTTCTTAAACACGCATTTTCAGCTGTGTCCATTTTCATTAAACACTCATTTTGCGTTGTGTCCAGGTTAAAAAGTTTATCGACGATTTACTATGGAAGGTGTANAATTAAATAAAAAACGGTAACTTAAATGTAGTCGTTGCTAATTTGACAGACTTACTTTGCTTTTAATTTAATTATTGTTAGTTTAAACATATATATAATCAATGTTAATTCAAAGTATAACTAAATAGTTTTATTTTGAACAAAGGATTGGTGAATTAAATAAATCAAACAATTATTACTCCGCCCACAAATAAACTGCTAAAGAAATACTTTGATTACCAGTTTTATCTTTCTACCCTGATTGATACGGTTTTATGCTGTCACGTATTTGTGACAGTCGGCCCGAAAGGGTTAACTTGGGTTAAACATTAATAAGGCACATTTTTTTGTTGCGTCCGTTTTATTAAACACGTATGTGTGTTTAAAAAAGTCGAGCAGTATCCAAATAAGATTTCGAGCAGTGTCCATTTTCCTAAACACTCATTTCAAACTGTATCCATTCTCGTAAATGGGCATTCCGAGTAGTGTCCATTTTCATAAACATGCATTTTGAGCTGTCTCCCTTTTAATAAACACGTCTTTTGAGCTGTGTCCATTTTCATAATCACGACTTTGGAGCTGTGTTCATTTTTGTAAACACGCATTTTGAACTTTACCCTTTTTCTTAAACACGCATTTTGAACTTTACCCTTTTTCTTAAACACGAATTTTCAGCTGTGTCCATTTTTATAAACACTCATTTATCATACTGTCCAGGTTAAAGAGCTCACCGACGATTTACCGTGAAAGGTGTGTATTTAGAAAGGCCTTTTTTAAATCTATGAAGTTAAAAGTATTGCTATACTTTTCTAAAAAAAATTTACTTTATAGCTATAATCGTGTTTTGCGCAAAAATATTTTTTTCCGCTTAACATTATTTAAATAATAATATTTTGTTTTTAATGTAATGTTAACTGATCATTCCACCGCTTAAAATTAATTCAAATAATGATTTCAGCAATAAAAATATTTTCAATATCCGACACATTAAATTAAAAAACACATTAAATTAACAACAAACAATTCTTTATTTTATGATAAGAAGCTGCAATGGTCTCAATATTATTTAAATTTACTCACACATTAGATGTGTATTTTTCAAAACTAAAATTATATATTTATAATATGATACATTATTAGAAAGTAAGTGTCAAGAGTTTGAATAAGTTAAGTAACATTCATTTATCAAATTGACAGAGATTTATAATTATTTTTACAGCTAAATTTCACTTTTGCTTTACCTTTTGAAAAAACTTTTGTCAAAGTACCCTATTTTCATTTTACAATATTTTTATTTTACAATATTTTTATTTTATTTTGTAGGGAGTGGTCGAAGAAAAGTCTGAAACGACGTCTGCCAGGTGCAATTATCATCGGCGTAAAGAAAGGTGGAACCCGAGCTTTGTTGGAGATGTTAAAGTTACATCCAGACGTTGTAGCTCCTGGTCCTGAAACGCACTTTTTTGACAGACATTATGACAAAGGTCTGCATTGGTACAGGTGCGAATGAAAATCCTTTTTTTTTTTCGTTTTAATTTCCTCTTTCGTGGGATTATTATTTTTTTTTATCAGATTTATAAACTTCATGATGTGTGGATTTCATCACACGGCGTTGTATTATTTTTTTGCAAAGAAAACAGAATTGTTGAGAATCATTATTTTTGACCTTCCTTTTTATTTACATTAAATAATACTTTGTCATTAGATTTACAAATATGTCCGATATATATATATATATA